ATTATTAATACAACAGTACATTGAATGCTGTGACTCCCATCCCATCTCCCAGCTCCACAGTTCTCTTCCTTAGAGGTAGATGCTGCATTATATACCAGTTTATGTAGCTTGAAAAAAAATGGTTATGCATAAATATGTGTGTGCATGTATAATTTGTTTTCTTCACAAGTGGTGGCACACTAGACACATTCATGTATGCTTTAAGGCTTTTAATTTATTGCAGGTGAAATAAATGTACTAGATATAGCTTAAGCAGATTAGCTATTAGATCTGTGTCTTCTTAAAAGACACAGATTAAAGTATTACTTAAAAGAAATATGAAGTATTTTAGAATAAAAAAATTTAGAAAAATAAGTTTCCTTGTGTTGGGTTGTCTGAAAAGTCATGAAGTACTTTATGTTTTTCTATGCAAAAATGTGAATGACTTTTTTGACAACCCAATACTTCACAACAGCTGACAAATAAAGTAGCTCTTCCTAGCTACTAACTAAACTTCTTCATGCAGTTTAATTATATTTTATCTGTGGTTTCTATTTTTCTTCCCAGGCAAAAGGCAGAGATGAACCCTTTATTTCTCATTTTTTCTCTCCAAATTATACTAGCAAAATTTGATAAAGTCTGTTTCTAGACTCATTCATACTTTTCAACACCCAGTTTTACAAAGCAGGAGCCTTGAACCTTAGCAGGGCGTTTCCTTAAGTTAAAGGTCTGTTCATTTCTGATCCACACACTGAGTCAAGGGACTTCATCATAGCTTCTTGCATCAGATTCTAAAATGAAGCCTCTCCAGGCAAGACCTTTCCAGTTACATCTGGAAACTGACTGGAACTTTCCTGGCTTATTTCCTGTTGAATCTAAGTGGTATGTCAATTTTGGCCTGATTTAATTTGCCCTACGACTCTAGCTGTCTCAGAGCTTTTAACTTTCTTGAATCCTTAGGCCAGAAGAGCCTCTCAGAACTCTCTGGTTCATTCTTTCCTTCCCATGAAAACCACTCTGCTTGCAGAAGCTCTCTGCCCAGCTAAAGATGGACTAGCAGAAGGAACTCACCACTGGGTGCTACAATTTGACTTATCCCAGTTAACCCCTCATTCCATGTGTAACCTCCGCAACCTGGCCTTCTGCTGTGCCTCCCTTCCTTTGACTGCATAATGGGGGAAATACTCATCCTAAATTTTGCACATGAAACAAACTGTTGTTAGAAATATGTTGTAAAGGGAACCAGCAGTTAGCGTAATGGCTATGTTGCTGGACTCCCACGTAGTCGACCGTGGTTCACATCCCGGACCCGGTTGCTTAAAACTCACGCCGGGCGCGTGTGCGTACGTGCCCAAGATCCCAAGAGGAGAATGGAGAAGGAATTGTGGCATGACCATCCCCCCTGGGGGTGATTTTTTGCTTTCTGTGTCTATGTCTCTCTCTGTCTGGCGAGCGCACGCGCCCTATAGCGAAAACCTCTCCAAAAAAAAAGAAAGAAATATGTTGTAAAGAAAGCATATGATTATAGAGGATTTGCTATTATTAACTCTAAACTCTGCCATATCCCCAGGTCCAGCCCATCCACAAGAGCAAAAGAATTCCCAATAACTGCACCAAAGCATACACTATATATTTTTTTTATTTTCTTAAAGGAGGGGTGTTGAATAAGTAACACTTTCCATGCTGTGAAAAAAATCAAATAGTTACAAAGGACATACGGTGAAAAATACATCTTTTTATTACCATTTTCCAGTTCCCCTCTCTGAAACAACTTTGTGTCACAATTTCTCACATATCCTAGAGAGTGATTATACTTTATACTCATGTGTGTTTGTGTGTGCTTTCCTCCCCTTTTTTTTTTTTTTGGAGGAGTTTTTGCTGTAGGGCATGTGCACTTGCCAAAGAGACAGAAAGTGAGAAATCACCCTCCAGGGTGGATGGCCACACCGCAATCCCTTCTCCTCCATTCTCTCAGGATCTTGGTCACACACACACATGCCCAGTGTAAGTTTAAGCCACCAGATCCAGGACTCGAACCATGGTTGACTACATGGGAGTCTAGCGACAGTCATTATGCCATCTGCTAGTTTCCCTCACCTGTTCTTTTTTGAACTTCACTTGATCTTAGTCAAAAAGCTGGGAGGAATTTTTTCTGAATTTGAATAGTAACAAATTGTTAGAATATGTACTGCTCTGCTCCTTATTTTTCTCTAAACAATATGTGTTAGAGATAATTTTACATAATACATAGAGTTCCACATTATTTATATACATATGTGATATATATATATGGGCTTATTTAATCATATCCCTATTACTAAGCATTTTATCTTAAACACAGTTTTCATTTGTTTTATTGCCAGAAGGTGTATATGTAGGGGTGTGATAGGCCACACCCCAGTGGGGTGTAGTCATGCTGCAATTCTTTCTCCTCCATTTCTCCATCCTGTCAGGATTTGGGATATACATGTACATGTGCCTGGACTGTTTTTCAAGTCATCAGGGCAGAGATTTGAACTGTGGTTAGCCATGTGAGATCTGGCTCCCAAAGCATGGTATTTAACCACTGTGCAGTAGAGCTGGACTTGTGCTAGGCATTTAGATGGTTTCCAGTCTTATTAACTCAAACAATGGATATCCCAATGAATATCCATATGTACAGTTCTAGAATAAGTTCTTGGAAATAGAGCCGCTAGGTCAAAAACTAAATTATTTTTAATTTTGTTGACCTTTGAATTTTCCTTGGAGTTGAACTACCATGCTCTTTCAGAATTCTAAATGATGTAATATACACAACAACCAACATTTACTCCAACAAGGTGGTCTTTAAACCTGAGGCTATTTTGACCTTTTCCCTCAAGTGACATTACAACAATGTACAACTGTGAGTACAGTTCTCCAGCATTGCTGGCTTAGAAGTCCCTGGAATGGCAGGAGGTCTTCTTGATGAACAGCCATCTTCCAATATTGCCACATAGTGACACCCCATCTGGAATGATCTCATTCTGGGAAACTTCAGAGTCCCAAAGTCCCTTGTTAAAAGTAAGCATCCAACACTGTGGGTCTTGGCTGGCCATCATCTATTTGGAATGATTCAACATTAATATTTAAATTCATTTGCACCAAAATTGGAGACATGAAAGGGTTGAAAACAGGCAAAGGGAACAGCTTACATTTAATTCATTTATTTTTTGCTAAAGGGTGCATGCTGGAGAGAGACAGAGAAAGAGAAAGTGAGAAAGTCAGCCCCAGAGAGGGTGACCATGCCACAATCCCTTCTCCTCCAGTTTCCTCTCAGGATTTTGGGCACACGTGCACATGCATTTGGCATGTTTTTCAAGCCACTGGGTCCAGGACTTGAACCACACAGTCAACCATGTGGGATCTAGCCACTTTAACCATCATACCACCTGACTGGCCCATGAGAGTCCTCATTTCTTGTGACATATTTTATCTTTCCTATGGCACTTCCCATATTTTGCCTCTTAGAGTAAGTTGTATCATCATTAAGAAGTTCACCTCCTTGTCCCCATACTCATAGTAGGTAACAAATGTTTGTAGACAGAATTAAAGACAGAAACAGGCTAGAGAGAAGAAGTTCTGAACCCCCATTCTAATTTGAGTCAGTTCCTGCAGTTCCTAGAACTGCCAATTATGAGTACTTTGGATGGCCTCCTACATGGAGCAATTAATCCCTGTAAGGACCCACAGGAAGTGCCCCTAAGGACTCTGGTAGGCTTCAGGAGACCTAGGTTCCAGGTATCCTATAAAAATTGGAAACACATCTGCCCCCATCACTCAGTCAGTAAACGTTCAAAGCTTCCCAGATGCCAACTATGGCACCATTGCCTTTCCTAGCCTTTCCATTAACCATTTCCTTGCCAACAAGAGCATATGCCAGTGATTTCAACCTCTGCCACAGTGGAGCTTCATAGGTAACACACAGAGATTCCTACTCTACACAGCAAGAGGGGCTTTTCTGAGTCCCTTGGATTCCAAATGGCCTCTGAAATTTCTAAGCTGTCTCCTCACCCTTTTTCCTGACACACCTGTGAACAGACAAGACACAAGGTTCTCAGAGAGGTGGTGGGTGGAGCTTTTCAGCCATCTGTATATCAACCCCTTTAACTCTATTTCACGTGACATCCTTCATTCACATTTAAAGTTCACAACTCCACATCATTTTCCCCAGCCTTCCTTGACCATCCAATGTTATACCCAATGGTTTCCTCTTCTGTAGCACTCATGCCACTTGTAACTACTTGTGTCATCTCCACTAGACTTTTAAGTTCCATGAGGGTGGCCTCTAATCCTTTCTAGTTTCCCTCTGTATCTCCAGCACTTGGCTCAGAGACTGACACATAATAGATGCTTATTAAATATTTTTTGAATTAGTATTGATCCCACTAACTTTCATCCTCAAAAATATTTATACAGTATTATTAATAATGATATGCATCATTTGATGGCTTATCAAATCTTTATTGGGTGAGTGTCTTAACTTTGGGGGAAAAGACAGTATAGGTAATCTAATTATTATTCTCCCTACTTTTCAGAAAATGAAACACCATTTATCAGGTTTACCGACTTGTCTAACGCAGTGAAACCATCATTAGAATTTGAATGCAAACCCACAGGAAGATTCTGGCTGCAAACCTTGTGTCACATACCAGCTGTTAACCAGATGCTTTGGCAGCTGAGTGAAATACTGGTAGCTGGTGGAAGAGAGCCGTGGAAGGACAGTAAGACAGGCTTCAGATGTTTGTTCTCTCCTCATGTCTGCTTGCTGCCTAAAGAGGGTCACTTGGCTCTCCTGGGTCCTGAGACCCTCTAATAGGGCATACGTCTCTCAGTAACTTGAGGCTGGGCCAGACAGAGAGTGAGGCCAGAGAAGCCTCAGCTTCTAGGGAAGAGAGAGATGAGCGCTGGAACACAGGGCACCTGTCCACGCTATTGTGTGTGCACACTCACATCCAGACAAAATCCACAACACACACATAGCAACACACAGGGAACACACCACAGCACACTTAACAGGTGCCATACAGACATGCACATACACACTGACACATTTATGAACACTCATACACACATTTAAACATGGACCCAACACACAGATATCAAATACACACTATAAGTACATCCAGCAACTGGAGTGCAGTTCAGTCACATGGCAAGCTGCCATCCTGGATACTTACATGCATATGTGCATAACCAGACCCTGATGCATGTTTGGACACATGCACTTACTGACACGCATGCAACTAAACACCTATGTATAATTTATAATCACTATCAAGTGCAAGCACGGACAATACACAAGGAAATGCGCTGTTAGAAGCGGTCGTCCACAGCACTCAGCTCCAACTCCACAGTAAGATAATGCACATCTGTGTGGAAACACGGATGTCTCTGCAGACTCGTGCACATGTACACACACCCTTGCAAAAGCACGAGTAAACCACTTTAATGCACGAAATACACTGACAAGTGCTACACACATCGAGATGTATTGACACAACCAAGATGTTGCCAGCTCTGGAAATTTTTTCCAAACGGATGCGAACGAGAGCCCTGCGCCCAGGGGCAGCCCACGTGACCGGGAGGAAGGCGCTCCCGCCCATGACGGGATGGGAAAACTATGCCTGGGGCCCGCGCCGGGCCGGCAGCTGCCGCCGCGGGAGGCGGGGACGCCGAGCACGGCCCAGAGCTTCCACACTTCGGACGCCCCCAGACGTGGCAGCGAGGGTGAGTATGTAGCACCACGCGGGCCGGGGCGCTAAGTGCGGGCAGACGCGCGGAGTCGGGAAGAAAAAGCGGCGCCGGGGTACCAAGGGATGTGAAAGGGGCGGGTACTGCGCGCGCCCCCTCAGGCGGGCGGGGAAGCCCTGGGTACCCGCTCTCGACCTCTGCCTTAGGAATTGTAGCATGAATGAACATTTCTGGAGTGCCTACTGTGTGCCAGACTCCGTGCTGGGGTTTATCTGTTAAGGTAGTGATCGCTCTGCCATTTACTGAGCACCCCCCTCTGCCAGCCCTTTCCTTGTGCGCTTTCGTTTTCATGGCAACAGGTTATGCCCATCTACCAAAGAAACCGTCCTCAGAGGCATTAATGACTCGCTCAGGTTGCACTGCTAGTAACTGACAGTAACGCACTTGAATCCTGGAAAGTGCGAGTCCAATACCTGAGCTCACAATCACAGCTAACATTTCCTGAACGCATGATCTCGTTTACTCTTCGTAAAAGTTCTTTAAAGAAGGGCGTTATACAGATGAGCGGAATGAACTCAAAAGGTAATAGATCTCGGCAGAGATTTGCTCCAGATTCTCCTTAACTGCCCTCACTCTCCCCCCTCCGCAAACTGCTTGTCCGCAAGCCTAGCCCTGATTAATTTGCTAGTTCTCCATCCCCACTGCCACTGCAATTCTCTCTCAGCCGAACTACTGCCACGTCCTCTAGGGGCTGCAGCCTGGGTCTCTCCCAACACCACTGGTCCTTTGCACCCCTCACTGTGATCCTCCTTTGCTCTTTGACCACAAAACTAGCCAGCTTGGTAACAAGCCTTCATGGGTCCCTTCCTTAGAATGACCATCTCCCCAGAGACCTGCTTCTTCCACCCTGAACCAGCAGCAGTAGCTAAGTCAACCCACGCTGATACTCAGCATCTTTACAGATCTATCTTCCCTTCCAGCAGGTGGCGATGTGGGTAAGGCACTGGATCCCATATGGCTGAATATAGTTCCAGTCTGGGACCCAGCAGCTTAAAAAACACCTCGGGATGTGTGTGTGTGTGTGTGTGTGTGCCCCAAATCTGAGTAGAGAAGGGAGGATAAGGGATTGTCATCCCCCTAGGAAGTGATTTCTCACTTTTCCTCTCTCTTGTCTTTCTCCAGCAAGTGCCCTTGCCTCATGACAGAAATCTAAAAAATTAAAAATTAGGGAACCAGCAGTTAGCGTAATGGCTATGTCGCTGGACTCCCACGTAGTCGACTGCGGTTCGTGTCCCGGACCTGGTGGCTTAAAACTCACGCCGGGCGCGTGTGCGTGCGTGCCCAAGATCCTGAGAGGAGAATGGAGGAGAAGGGATTGCGGCGTGACCATCCCCCCTGGGGGGTGATTTCTCGCTTTCTGTCTCTCTGTCTCTCTCTGTCTGTCTGGCGAGCGCACGCGCCCTATACCAAAAAAAAAAAAAAAAAAATTAAAAATTAAAAAAACCCGCATTTCTGCCCTCTCATCTCCACCATTCTCCTCCGATTTATTCTATTATCAGGTAATTAAATTCGTTACTCCTGCTTTCAACTACCACCTCCTCAGAACCTTTGTGCTTCTTGGAACATTGCTGCTACCCTTCATTCTGCCACCACAGGGTCATTTCTTCCCAAGTGGCTGACTCCTTCCCATCTTTTAGCAGGGATACTGCACTTAGCTGTCTTCATATCCTAATCCTTAGGGCTGTCTCTTGTTTGAAATATTATAAAAGAAACAACATTCATAGCAGAGCAGTTTGAAAGGTGAAAAGTAAAAAGTAAAAGCCTACATACCCTCTTCCCAATGTCAAGAGGTAACTAAGATTTTGTGTGCCTTCTAAATTTCCCACAGATATTTGTCTGATCTTTTTTAAAATAATTATTTTATTGAACTTTATTTATTTATTTATTTATTTATTTATTTTAATTTGACCAGAGAGGAACAGAGTGAGAGTTAGATAGAGAAAAAGTGAGAAGGTAAGCCTCTAAGTCCAGGTCTTGAACCATGGTCGGCCATGTGGGAGTCCAGCACCCTTAACCACCACACCACCTGCTGGCCCCTGTCTGATAATTTTTTTTTTAACTCAAAAAAAGTCATACTTTACATTCTATGCTGCCTTTTTCCCCCCACTTAACAGAGCATGTATCTTGGCCATATTTACATATCTGCATATACAGACCTAATTTGTTCTAATAATGGTGCATGAGTGGATGTATTACACTTTTTCTTACAAATCTGGGGGCAACTTTGAAGCTAAACTGTCTCCATCAAATATTTAGCAAGTTCCCTGAGAAGTCTCTTCTTTCTTTACAAATCTCCCTATGGTTTCCTGTCTCACTACTCCTCTGACCTTGACCTTGCTGATTGGATGTTCTTTCTCACAGTCTCAAACTCAGAAGCTTCCTACAAGTAAATGTTAGCCATAGGTAACAGAGTTCTTCTCCACACACACAGATTCTCCCACTTCTTCCTCCAGGTCAAAGGCCTGCCAATCTTACTTTGTCTCCATGAGATGAACTCCCGCAGAAATCAGATTTCTTTTTTTTTTTTTTTTGGTCCCTCTCCCCTGCTCACACCCCGAACTCCCTCTCCTTCCCCTGGACCGTGCAGCCGGCGAGAGCCAGAAATCAGATTTCTGTTCATTAAGTTATGTTATAGGTTACCTTTGAAACGAATTCTATGCCAAGGATTTTCTGAAGCAAATAATCCTCCCCGGGAATATATGACACATATACATGCATACATATATCACTGCCCTTTTAGTGATTCCCCTGTTAGCTAGCAGAGGACCCATGGGAAAGAGACATGATCTCTGGCCTCTGAGTCAGCAGGCCTAGATGCCATGCCAGCTTTACCCTGGGAAAAATGGTTTTCCATTTTCCTGAACTGTTTTCTCTTCTACCAATTGAAGGAGGTGGTATTAGCCTCTTAGAACTGTGGGGATAATTAAAGGAAATATGAACATCAAAACTTTGAAATAAAGGGTAGAGTGGTGGCACAGTGGTAAAATATGATGCTTTGCGAGGTGGACCCACCTGGGAAGGCCCCAGTTTTGCATCTAGAGACCTCCCTGAGTGTACCAGGCATGTGTATGCTCATGATCACAGGCTGGCTGAGGCTGGGTGTGGATCATGGCATCAGGAGTGCTGTCTCTCCATCTGTCTGTCTGTCTGTCTGTCTGTCTCTACCCCCTAAACTTTAAATAAAATAAAGCTTTGGAATAAGAACATACAACATACACATAGAATCATTGTTCTTTTCCTCTAGATCAGAGATTGCAAACTCAGATGCCGATAAGGGCTGTACATGATATATGGGAATGGGGTGCATGACATTGTGGGCATGGTGAAGACTATGGACCAAGATGTAGGCCCTGTATCTTAGGCAGCTTTGGGCCACAGTAACAGAACACCACAGACTGCAGGACTGAAACAGACATCTATTTTTTACAGTTCTGGAGGCTGGAAGTCCATGATCAGGTATTAGTAAGCTTGGTTTCTTCTGAGGCCTCTCTCTTTGGCTCGCAGTAGTATCTTCTCATTGCTATGTCCTCACATGGTTGACTCTGTCTACCTCCTAATCTCTTCTTATAAGGATATAAGTCATACTGATTAGGGTCCACCCATCCAACTCATTTTATCTTAATTACCTTTTTATAGGTTCTATCTCCAAATACAGTTCCGTTCTGCTCAGCATTGCTGAAATCCTCTAAGTTCTCAAGAAAAGCTAAAATTTTTATTTGAACATAAAATCTCCCAAGTTTTTTTTAAAAGAGTTATTTTATTTAACTTTATTTATTTATTAATTTCAATTTGACCAGAGAGGATAAAGAGAGAGAGAGAGAGTGAGGAATCAAGCCACCAAGTCCAGGACTCAAACCGTGGTCAGCAGTGTGGGAGTCCCGCATCCTTAACCACCACGCCACCTTCCCTCCCCCCAAACTCCCAAGTTTTACATTGGCAGCAATTTAAATTAAAATAGAAACGGAAAGCACAGTGGCAATCTGTGGTCTGCGTAAGTCCATTGATAAGCTTATCTAAGTGGTAATTTCCTCAGTGTCAGGACCCTGGTCTATAGTTTTTAAATTCCTCTGAGCCAGTCCTTGCACAGTGAAGTTTTAACAATCAGTTAACCATTGAATGACTATATTTGCATTTTACAGCTTTGTTTAAAGTAGCCACAGCCACAGAAACCTTGCACCTTTGCATGCACTAGGTGCTATAAAATAACATTGGCTGTTACAACTGCATTCATGCCACTTATGCTCACAACTGTTCAACTCCTCAGTCTCACGTTATCCCCATTTTACAGATGGTAAGTAGCAGAGCCAGGTCTCAGTTATGTGTTGCAACCTTCTCCTGTTACATCATCTCCTTCTTCACACTCACACATGGACATTATATCAGAGTTACACTAATATTTCTGAGTGTTTACTACGGCTGGGTACCACATTATCTCATTTAATCTTCATGATTACTCTATCAGGGAGATGTGAGCAATCAGATTAATCAAAAGGGACATTCCTGAAGATTGCAAATAATTCACAACTCACTGCTAAATAATAGCAGATATTTCTGTTTACCTGTTAGAATAATGCTATTGCATGGCTATGACATAAACACTGTTTATATTCACAATTCACACTACTTTACAAGTTTACAAGTTTTTTTATTTTTATTAGAGGTCACATGTGCACACCAGAGACAGGGGAAGAAAACACCTCTCCCCCAGTGGGGCATGGTCATGCTGCAATCCCTTCTCTTCCATTTCTCCATCTTGGTAGGATTTAGGTCACACATGCATATGTGCCTGGCATGTTCCTTAAGCCGTCTGCTGGGATTCAGACCATAGTTGTCTGTATGGGATCCAGCTGCCTTAACACAGACAACAGGGCCAGCCCATAAGGTTACTGACAAACTTTTAATTTGGGAATTTTGGGTTATTTCAGACTTGATACATAAAGGGAAATATTCAAATATTTTATATCATGCCATTTTGA